AAGCGTGGCGGCCGTCAACACCAACCACGCCAACTCTCAGTCCTCCTATGGAGTGGATACCAACTGGTATGTGGACTCTGGAGCGTCAGATCACATCACCAGCGAGCTCGACAAGCTCACCGTTCGGGACAAGTACAACGGGCATGATCAAGTAAACATGCCCAATGGCGCAGGTATGAAAATTGCTCATATAGGTCATGCTTATGTTCGTACCCCTTCCCGCAATCTCCATCTTAAAAATATCCTACATGTACCAAATGCCACCAAGAACTTGATCTCTGCTCATCGGCTATCTTATGACAATCACGTTTTTCTTGAAACTCATCCTCATTTTTTCTGTGTTAAGGACAAGGCAACGAGGAAAACCCTCCTCCGCGGCAGGTGTAGAAACGGGCTCTATCCCCTATCATCAGCTCCCGTAAGCTCGGGCAGGCATGCACTTGGTGCCACCAAGATCTCATCATCACGGTGGCACAATCGTTTAGGTCATCCATCTTCGGCAATCGTTCAGCATGTTCTCAAGCACAATAATATTTCCTTTTCTAGCAAAGAGTTGAATAATCAGGGTGTATGTGATGCTTGCCAACAAGGCAAGAGCCATCAACTACCCTATCCAAATTCTAGTAGTATTTCCAATGCTCCTTTAGAGCTAGTTTTCTCTGATGTATGGGGGCCTGCCCGAGATTCAATCAATAAGAAAAACTATTATGTGAGTTTCATAGATGATTTCAGTAAGTTCACTTGGATTTACATTCTCAAACACAAATCCGAAGTGTTCAAAGTTTTTCATGAGTTTCAAGCACTTGTTGAACGTCTCTTTGACCGAAAAATCATCACTATGCAAACGGACCGGGGAGGCGAGTATGAGCGCCTAAACTCCTTTTTTCGTCAGATAGGCATCACACACCATGTGTCATGTCCTCACGCCCATCAACAGAATGGGTCAGCTGAGAGAAAACATCGCCACATTGTAGATGTAGGTCTCTCACTTTTGGCTCATGCTTGCATGCCCTTGAAATTTTGGGATGAAGCGTTCCTCGCTGCCACTTATCTCATCAACCGCACTCCTAGTAAGGTGATCAATCTTGAAACTCCCTTAGAAAAATTGTTTCATGAAAAGCCAAATTATCATGCTCTCCGCACTTTCGGCTGTGCTTGCTGGCCAAATCTCCGTCCTTTTAACTCTAGAAAGCTAGAATTCCGCTCCAAGCAGTGCGTTTTTCTTGGCTACAACAATCTTCACAAGGGTTTTAAATGCCTTGATATACAAGCAGGACGGGTGTATATTTCCCGTGATGTCATCTTTGATGAATCAGTTTTTCCTTTTGCCGCATTAAATCCAAACACCGGAACCCCTCTTCGCTCCGAAGTTCTTCTCCTTCCTGAAACCATCCCCTCTGACCCTCTTGATCATGGGGACGAACAAACAGCTGATCCATCGGGTGATTTTCATAAAAATTCTGCAGCTAATTTTGGTGGAAATCCGGTTGTTCTTCATGATTTTATGCAGCAGCCAGGCGCGGAACACCATGCAGATTCAGGTGCTGCAGATCCTGACGGCGGCGATCCCGGGGCTGATTCTCCCTCGTCTGGCGCGCCTGCCAACAGCAGCGGCGGCGTATCTGCCTCGGGAGGAGATGAGTCGCCCGCGGCGTCCCACACGTCCAGCCGGGGGCCCACAGGCGAGGGCCCGGAAGCGCACTCCGCGCTTGACCAGACGAGCGCGACCGTCTCGAACCGCCAGGTGGCGCGGTCTCCTGCACGCGGTCGGGCCGACCAGGTGGGTGCTTCGCGGACAGGAGGCAGCATCCGCCTCGTCCCTCGCGCTGGCCAATCAGATGCGGTGCATGCGGCTGACAGCATCCGCATCGGATCGGATGCGTCTGGATCGGCTGCTCCGGCTCCTGGTACGAGGATGAATGGATCTTCTGCGGCTGATGGTTCTGCGGTTATTCCTGCACCAACACAGAGGACAACAAGGTCGCAACATGGTATTTTGACACCAAAAATACGTACGGATGGTACGGTCGGGTATGATAAGGTGCGGTTTGTTGGTCTTACCACTACTAGAGAACCACATAATTTGTCAGAAGCTTTAGAACATAAAAACTGGAAAAATGCAATGGATGAGGAATACAATGCTCTTATGAAAAACAGAACATGGAATTTAGTTCCTCCAGCCAAAGGCAGAAATATAATTGATTGTAAATGGGTCTATAGAATCAAAAGAAGAGCAAATGGAGAAATAGATAGATACAAAGCAAGATTAGTTGCAAAGGGCTTTAAGCAAAGGTATGGGATAGATTATGAAGATACCTTCAGTCCAGTTGTAAAAGCAGCTACTGTCAGACTTGTTCTCTCTATTGCAGTATCAAACAACTGGCATCTTCATCAATTGGATGTGCAGAATGCGTTTCTTCATGGCGTTCTAGAGGAGGAAGTGTATATGAAGCAACCACCTGGGTATGAGGTAAAAGATAAACATAATTATGTTTGCAGGCTTGATAAGGCTCTATATGGTTTGAAACAAGCACCCAGAGCATGGTACTCTAGGCTGAGTGAGAAACTCCAAAGGCTTGGTTTTCGACCATCCAGAGCTGACACATCTCTGTTCTTCTATAGAAAAGGGAAAATCACCATTTTCATGTTAGTATATGTTGATGACATTATTGTTGCAAGCTCATCACAGGATGCAATTAAGGCATTGCTTGAAGATCTAAGAAGATATTTTTCTCTAAAAGATCTTGGTGATTTGCACTACTTCTTGGGAATAGAAGTAAAGAAGGTTAAAGATGGCATAGTCTTAACTCAAGAAAAGTATGTGTCAGATGTGTTAAAACGAGCAGGTATGATGAATTGCAAGGTTTCGAATATGCCTCTCTCAACTTCTGAAAAATTGTCAAAAGAAGAAGGTGAGCCACTAAGTGCTGAAGAATCTACAAACTATAGAAGTGTTGTAGGTGCCTTGCAATATCTAACGCTTACAAGACCTGATATATCTTTTCCTATTAATAAAGTATGTCAGTTCTTGCATACTCCTACTCTTGCACACTGGATAGCAGTAAAGAGGATCCTGAGATATCTAAGGAGCACTATGAGTACAGGTTTGAAGGTCACAAGGTCAACATCAACTTTGGTGAGTGCATTTTCTGATGCAGATTGGGCATGTTGTCCTGATGATAGAAGATCAACAGGGGGCTTTGCTGTTTTCTTTGGACCAAATCTCATCTCATGGAGTGCACGGAAACAAGCTACTGTATCAAAGATCAAGTACAGAAGCTGAATATAAAGCCTTGGCTAATGCTACGGCAGAGTTAATATGGATTCAAACCTTACTAAACGAGCTTCGTGTAAGTCATTCTCCAGTTGCACGTTTGTGGTGTGATAATATTGGTGCAACTTATCTTTCAGCAAATCCAGTATTTCATGCAAGAACAAAGCACATTGAAGTGGATTATCATTTTGTGCGAGAAAGAGTAGCTCAGAAGCTACTTGATATTCGTTTCATTCCCATCAATGATCAAGTTGCAGATGGCTTCACTAAAGCCTTATCTTGGCGAAAACTAGAAGAATTTAAGAACAATCTCAACTTGGTAAAGTTATGATTGAGGGGGAGTGTTAGAATACTTGTATGCGTATTATGGTGCAAGTATAAACCGTATATACGCTGTAGGGCCGGTGCGGCATGTTTATCTCGTGTAACTCGGTTGGTAGGATGTTGAATTGATCTCTATCTTGTATAGTTAACTTGGAGATCAATCCAACAACCTAACCAACTAAATCTTGTAAACCCTAGCCGCATTGTGGCCTATATATAACACGCAACGCGTCCCTGCTAGGCATATGCTTAACGCACTCTTATACTTCACGCATGACAGTCATCCCTTGTTAAGAAATGTTGAAAAACTGGGAGTGGAGCTTGACACCAGGTGTGTGGTGTGCAGGCGATTTCAGGAAGATGGGGGGCATCTATTTCTTAGGTGCACGGAGGTCAAAAAGTGTCGGAGAGCCTGCGACCTTGAATGGACCCGCCAAAATCTGCTAGCCTGTTCGTCTGCAAAGTAAGTGACTGCAGCGATCCTGAAACTCCCAACAGCGACACGCCCTGCCTTCTCTGGATGTGGTGGACAGAACGCAACAAGGCCAACCATGGGAAACCACGCCTCTCTGTAGAATCTTTCGGGGCACATGTTGGGGTCACAACTTTGGAATGGAATCAGTACCATAGCCCTACCAACATAGCCCTACCAACAGAGTTGCCACGCCTGGGCCGATTCTTAGTTGGAAGCTGCCACCTCCTGAGTTCATCAAGCTTAATATGGATGCCGCTTTCCACGCTAGCTCGGGTCGTGGTGGATGGGGAGTGATCGCCCGAGACGCTGATGGTGATGTGGTTCTCGCAGCTGCTGGAGCGCTATACAATCAAGGTTCAGCCCTGCAAGCTGAAGCAGAGGCATTTCTTCAGGCCATCAGAATCCCATAACAGTATGGTATGGGGCGGGTCATCTTTGAAACAGATTGTCTGGTTCTCCAGCAAGCTATGTCTTCGGTCAGCCAGGATCGAGGTCCCCTTGGAGTACTCTCCCGTGAAGCAAAATTCCTCTTGGGTCTAGAATTTATACAATATAGAATTCTACACTGTCTTAGAAGTTGTAATAAGCCAGCGCATGTGCTGGCTTCACATGATTGCCGGGGCTATCCGAATGACCATGTGGTCTGGGAATCGGAGCTCCCGAACGATGTTATGTGTGCTGTGACCCCCGACTCGGTTGGTCCTCCGTAATTGGAATGCAATGTGTTGCAGCTAAAAAAAAAGAAACTGCTCTTTCCCTCAACAAGCACACACACGCACACACAACAAAGGAGCATCCGTCGCCAACATGAGTTATTAATAAACCTTCTAAAAAAACATGAGTTATTAAACAGAAAGCGAGGATAATCGTTCGAACCAAAAAAAAAAAAATACGACTGCCCCTGCCAGTTGCTGAAGTTCCTTTATTCTAAGACCTACGGGGCACGAGGCGTGAACGCAGCGGCTTCTTCATGACGACGGTGAACTCGTTCTTCTCGGCGAAGTCCACCTCCTCGCCGGCGACCTCCTGCCACTTGAACTCCCTCACCATGTTGGCCACGAAGTACTCCAGGTGGAGCATGGCGATGCCCAGCCCGGCGCAGATCCTCCGGCCCACGCCGAACGGCATCATCTTGATCTCCCGATTGCCGGTCACGTCCACCGCTTCGCCTGCGCCGCCTTGCAGGAACCGATCCGGAGAGAACTCTAACGGCTTCTCCCACTCCCGCTCGTTCCGGCCCATCTCGGCTACCATGAAGTTCACCGTTGCGCCCTTGGGTATCAGGTAACCGCCGATTTCCATGTCCTCCGCCGCCTTGTGCGGCAGCACGAAGTGCCCCGGCGGGTGCTTCCGGAGGCCCTCGAGAACCACCGCCTTGAGGTAGGGCATCTTGTGGATGTCGTCCCCGGAGACCTCTTCTTGGTCGTCTCCCGTCGTGTCTTTGATCTCCTCGTAGAGCTTCTCCTGGATTGATCGGTTCTTGACCAGTTCGGCCATGATCCACTGTAGGCCAGTGGAGGTGGCAGTAATGCTACACTTACGTAGAGATAGTTACGTACTTCACGTAATTAGCAACGTGGCTAATGATCATTGGGGAAGGGGAGGAAGGGGCCCCACCCACCTGAAAATCAGGAGGGGCAGAGAAGTATATTTAGAAAGGTTTCTAAATATACTTCTCTGCCCCTCCTGATTTTCAGGTGGGTGGGGCCCCTTCCTCCCCTTCCCCAATGATCATTAGCCACGTTGCTAATTACGTGAAGTACGTAACTATCTCTACGTAAGTGTAGCATTACTGTGGATATATAATTCTCTGCCCACGATCCTTCTGCCGCCGCCGCATGGCGTGCGCGGTCTGGAGGCGGTCACGAAAGACGTGCTTTGTGAGCGACGGGAAGAAGGCGAAGACAGCCATTTTCTTGGTGATGTAGAGCAGCTGGTCGCGCTGCGCGGCGGCGATCGCGCGCACCGCGGGCTCGTCGAGCCGCTCGCCGAAGGACATGAGCACGAGGAGGCAGAACATGGCGTACTGGAACGTCTCCACAACGGCCGCCCCGCCGGAGGACGACTCGTCCCGCAGCTTGTCGACGAGCACGCGGCGTACCCAGGAGCGCGCGGGCGCGAAGAGTCGGACGCGGGACGGGTGCAGCGTCTCGGAGACGAGGTTGCGGCGGAGGAGGCGCCACACGGGCCCGTAGCTGGCGCGCGTGATGGTGTTGTCATTCTCGCCCATGATCCTGACGGACGCGAGGGTCGGGCGGTCGGCCAGAGTGCCGCGTGCGCGAGGCGGCGATCGGCGACGAAGATGGAGAGCCGGGAGCCCACGCGCAGCGACACGATGGGACCATACCGCGCAAACAGACGCCGGAGGAGGAGTTCCCCGTCTGCGGGCGAGTTCGTGAGCCACACCATACTGCCCAGCACCGGAAAGGACGGCGGGCCAGGCGGGATGGGCCGCCGGGCGCCGCCGCCGGTCTTACCGGTGCGTAAAAGGAGGAGGGTCAGCGGGAGGGCGAAGAGGATAACGCCGAAGAAGATTTGCCATGTCTCCATGGCGCGTCTGGGTGCTGCTCCGCTTCCGCTCTCACTGGTGCTGGAGCGCCGTGTGGATAAATATGCTTTGGGTCGCCGTCTCGAATTTTAATCTTGTTTACATCGACTCGATGGCTTCGGAAAGAAAGGAGGGCAAGTCAACTATTGCAAAACTTGGGTTACAAGATGATTACAGCAACTGTGACGTGATACTAACGACTCGGCGTATATAACAACCGAATAGGGCCAATTGGCCTTCTTTTTTCTTTTGAAAAACAGCATGACTCTGCTGTGTATTTTTATGGACTTTTAAATAAATTTTATAAAATCAAATTACAGAAAAAGGACTATACAGGTAAATTAGAAAACGAAATTTGTTAATAGCACATCAAATCGTTTTTGCAAACTAACCGGACGCACTAGACACCACCCGTTTACGATCCGACGCGCCTCGTTCAATGCGGTTTGGGATAGATCCCGAGCAAAGAATCAGGAGCGAGTGGGTTGGGGGTGGGCGGTTCGCGTGCGTGCGTAAGGGTCGATGTGCAGGTCCAAGCAAAATCAACCTAAGAGCATGGCTAATAATAGAGCCAACAATCGGCTATAAGGAGCCGCCATGTCATCTAATGTTAACCTAATAGCCGACATGTACAATAATACATTCTAAATGCGTATTACTTTATGAATAGTTGACTCACCTTATAACCTCACAAACTGTCTTGGAGCTTGTGCTGCAGCTGGCTACTAGTGAAGAGCCTGCTTCTCTTCTCTCTGCTCCAACTAAGCAAATATACAATATTTTAGTCCTTATAGCCTGCTTATGTTACCTTATTGTACTTGCTCTAACTGGATCTAACGAAGCGTCGCCCACTTCCCCAACCCACCCAAATGAATTCATTCCAGGCTCTTCCCTGTCTGGTTTTTGGTTACCGCGCGCCACTCCGCTATTACTCTCTCCGCTCCCTGCTTTGTCGCCATTGCTTGCTCGAATCGATGTTGTTTCTTCGCGGTGGACGACGGCGAGTCCTCTCAGTGAGACGCATCCCCCCGACCCCAATCCGTCGCCTATTTTTCTCGGTTTGCCATGATCGCCGATAATGGTGGTCATGTCATGGTCGCCACCGTTTTGTTTGCTCGAATCAGGAAGGAATATCATGGCGCTTAATCGGGGTGAGATTTCTTTTGCTTACTTCCCATTTCACATGCATGGCGGATTTCATGGTAATTTTGTAGGTCCCAAGCTCGTGGGTTGTGGAAGGGCGTTGATTGCGGGCATTGGGGAGCAATCTCCTCGGTTTTTTGTTGGTGGATTTGATGCTAGGGTTTTCAAGTGTTTTGAGGTTTTTGAAGCAACTGTTAATTTTTTGGGTGGTGTGATTCAGCGATTAGTGTTACTTTCCCTAATCTATTGCATGAATCTCCAAGTAAAAAACAATGCTCAGATCCCTTTGTTGTTTCAAATTCGCTCAACAAAACATTCTCTATTCCCTACTGTCCATTACATCTGGTAGTTAATATTGGATCCTACCATGCTAGTCATAGTTATCGTTACCATGCTTGTTGTGCTATCTATTGGGGGGTGGAGATGGGGTGGTGTTGTCCATATGTTTGATGCATTTTCCTTTTGTAAATCCTCTTATTCAAATTGTTATTTTATCAACTCTATTGTGCATAAATTATCATGCCTAATGTACACAATTTATCAATGGTGCATAAGCATTTTTTAGGTTTGTGATATGCAATATATGTGCACTTACCAACTCTATTATGCATAAATTACCATGTCTAATGTACACAACTTATCAATGGAGCATAAATATTTTTTTAGGGTTGTGATCTTCAGTATATGTGTATTTACCAGCTATGTTATGCAGAAATTACTATGCGTAATGTGCACAACTTATCAGTGGAGCATAAGCATTTTTAGGGCTATGCTATGTAGTAAAAAGTGTTTTACCAACTCTGTTATGCATAAATTACCATGCCTAATGAACACAACGCATCAGGGGAGCATAAGCAATTTTTAGTGCAGTGATATGTGGTGTATGAATATTTTACCAGCTCTATTATGCACAAACTACCATGTCTATTGTACCCAACTTATTAGTGGAGCATAAGCAAGTCTGCCAACTGATGCGCGCTTTTTTCGTCATGTTTTTTTATGATGTTTGTTCTTATGTATAATGTGTCTTTGTACCATATTTTTTCCATGTCATTTTATCATTTTGTTGCAACCAATTATCATTTGTGTTGCTCATTAATTTTGTTTTCCTCAAGTAATTTCTGCACATCTACATGTTCTGTTATTTTTTACCCGGTTTGATTTGAATACTTTATCATGCTCATTCTATTATTATTACCAAGTTCTCCGGTAGTTTTTTCCTATCATGTTACTGCATCATGATACGTCAAACATCTTTTTCGTTTTGCAAAGGGGTATGGTTACTTATGTATTTTTTAGCATATAATGGGTACACTTTGTGTTTAGCATGGTATCCTAAATCCTCACTTCTGTGACGCCTGAATATTTAAACTACAGTGATCTCCCGTTGATGATGAAACGTCACCACGATTATTGTTCTTAAACTCGTGTTGGTTTGAAACCGGTTCAAATTCAAATCTAAAACAAAGTCGAAAATAAAAGTTTTCAGATGTCCAAACTAAAATGTTCACAATATTCTATAAATTCACCTGATCATTGTCATGTTGGAACCAACCTCTTTTGGATTCCCACAGTGCCCCCTGGAAATTTTATTTAGTCGTCCAACATCCAATTATTTGAGCTTTTCAATTTCTAAAAATAGTTGAACACTCCCAAATGCTTAAAAACTTTTTATACCAACCCAGGTTATTGCCTTATATTTTTGTGCCAAGTTTTGTATTAAACAAAACTCTTTAGTGGCTCAAAGAAAATAAACAAAAGGTAAAAACTAAAATAAGAAAATAAAAGGGGGCAACCCTCTCCCTCGCTGGGCCTCGGCCCAGCTGGCCTCTGACCTAGTCAGGCCAGCCTAGCCGGCCCATTCCTCCCCCTGCTTAACCCCCACCCCAACCGAACCCTAGGCCTCACCCACTCTCTCCCGCACGACCTCCCCCACGTCGCTCGCTCTCCCTCCCCTCTCGATCCAGATCGGGGGCTCGACCCCGCGGCACTCCCGACGACGCCCGTCGTTGCGGACCGCCGACCCCATCACGTCGCTGCTCGCCTCCTGAACTCCTCCTCGCCCTCCTCTCCTTCGCGCGACACCCGCCTGACGCCGTGGCCTCGCCTTGTCATCGACCCGGCATCGTCGCCCGTCGTCACCGCCACCCCGTCGCCGCCCCGTCGTCGACCGCCGCTGCCCCGAGCTCCAGCGCCTCCCCGACTCCTCCTCGCGCACACTATTGCACACCTACAGGGCCCGGTGAGGCACCCTCCTCCGTTTCCCCCCTCTCCTTTCCCTCCCGTCGCCACAGGTCGCCCTCACCGTCACGCCGAAGCTCCCGAGGAGGGTTGCCGCGCCCGTGTGACCCGCCGTCGCGCGCTGGCCACCTTCCCGCGTTGCCTCCCCCGTCGCGTGCCCGTCCTTTGCCGCTGCTACTGCCGCGCCGCTTGCGCCCCGCTGGCCTATGCCGCAGCCCCTGCCTCCGGCCGCGGGCCCTGCCGCTAGTCCAACCGGCCGCGTCGTGGCTGCCGGCGCCTTGTAGCCGCGCAAGCCCAGCCGGCGAGGCCATTGGCCTCTGCCTGGGCCGACCCCCCTCCTATTCGGTTAGTGGGGATAACCCCTCCCTGACACTAACTAGTCCCCTAACCGCTCACTGACCCGTGGGCCCAAGGCCACTAACTTAATCTGAGGCAATAACTTATTTTAATTTAAAAAAACTTGTTAAAATATGTGTCTCTTACACATGGGCCCCACCAGTCAGTTTGACCAGTCAACAGTCAACTGTTGACTGCTGACTGGGCTGCTGACTCAGCCCCTCCTGGACCTACATGTCAACCTGTGTACACTTATGTGTACACAGTGTTGTGTGCACTTAGCAATTTTTGCATTTATTTTCGGTTTAAAATTAATTTCAGAATATTAATAAAACTTTTAAAATTAATAGAAATTAAAGCGTCACTCGGATGAAAAAGTTTTCTACATGAAAATTGCTCAGAACAACAAGACGAATCCGAACACGCGGTCCTTCGTCCGCCACACTTCCCTAGCATAGCAAACATCGAACCTTTCCCCTCCGGTTCATTTATCTGACACATGTCCGGAATCGGGAAAACTTTCTCGGATGTTTCCCCCTTCGCCAGTACCGTGTAACACTGCGTTAGAGCACCCCTAGTGCTGCGTGTTTTCTTGTCGTGCATCTATATTACCTCTATGTGTTTTATATTTACTATTTATTCCCCCCTCTTCTCTCCGGCAGACCCCGAGACCGCTGCTGATGCCCGTGTGATCGACTACGTCGACGACGACTCTTCTTCCCTTTCTGTGGAGCTTCCAGGCAACCCCCCTTGATCATCCCGATATCGCCCATTTCATTCTCTCATGCTGGCATTAGATTTTGCTACTGTAATTGATTACTCCTATTCTGATGCATAGCCTGCTTTTGTACCTGCTGTTGTACCTTACATTGTTTATCCTAAACTGCTTAGTATAGGTTGGTTAGTGATCCATCAGTGACCCCCACCTTGTTCTTGTTGCCCCTGCTTCATCATTGACGACTCGATCAACGTGATCGACGACCAGAGCCCGACACCTCACATCACATCATGCCCTTTTTGTTGCTCGACTCTGCAGAGTTACCATCAAGTGCCGAGGGTGGTACCTCATACATCACTCCTGATGAGGTCTTTGTAGTGTAGCTATTCGGTCGTGGTCATCGAGGGTGATTCCACCTTAACCACTTCCGATACGACTCTGTCATGCAACCCCTCAAGTGTGAACCTCGAGGGTGGTTCCTCTTATGTTCACCTTGATGTTTACATCGAGTGGAATACACCGAGGGTGATTCCTTGGGTTTTCCCCTTGATGTTTGGACACACG